ACAAACTCATGTAGATTATACAATGTAGACATATCAGAATGGCCAGACAAGACCTAGGTGGCATCTCAAACATCCCCATAAGGCTTTTCTACTGTAATCTCATGCCCTGGTGTATTTCTACCAGCCTCCTTTCTTACATGACATTTCCTCATAATAGTTCTTATCAAAATGTGATCCATAGACCAGTACCAGTCCATGGAATGCTTGTTACTGATCCTCCTTAAAGCAAGCAGAGAAAGCAGCAGTAAGTATTCAAAACTTGCAAGACAATTCACATTACTACAACATTCATGCAAATTTTTACTGTATTTTCAAAAGAAGTAGTAGGTGACAATTTGGAAAATGAAAACATACATAACTTGTCTTTCACCACAGGTAATATGAGAAACACTGCACCAGGGCTGTTTGATGAATGTATGCCACTTGTGAACTTTAAAACCAAATCATAGATATTAGCACAAGAATCGGGAATCCAGTCTTTAAAAGACAGAGAAGTTGCAGATATATGTTTCAGAGCTGACGGAAGTGTCAAACAACAAAACGGAAGGTACTAGAGGGAAGAACATGTGGCATAGGAGAAGAACCTCCTCAGCAGGAAAAGAAGCCACACCCATTTCTCTATACCACAGAGCAAATAATCCTTCCTCACTTATTAGGGATCCTTTCCAGGCTGATAGCACTCTCAATCACCCACTTGCTCTCAGCACACTGTTTACTGGCAGTGCATCCACATATCAGGAGTTGTCCTGAGGCTCCAGGTTTTCAGAGGACATTCTGCCCACATAAGAGAGCTACCATGAGTATTTTTATACTATAACCTCAAAGACACAGATTTCTTAGAAATAAGGTTTTCCATTCCCAAGGATTTATAATAACACATGGGGAGAAAAACAGGAATCTCAAAAAATTTTTTCTGACAACTAACCAGTTAGCAGAGCCCAATAATATTATATCACCATCTAATTGCACCATTCATTTTTAAAAGTTTCGTTTTTATTTTTAATTGGCAAATATTATATAAATATATGGAGTATGACATGAAGTTTCCAATACCTGTATATACTTTAAAATGATAAAACCAGAATAATTAGCATATCCTTAAATATTCATCATTTCTTTATGGTGAGAATATTTAAAATCCTAGAGGATGAGGGGCATAGCTCAGTGGTAGAGCCTAGCACAAGGCTCTGGGTTCTATCCTCAGCACCACAAGAAAATCCTTTTAGCTGTTTTGAAATATATAATTATTAAATATAGTCACTGGGAAGTACAATAGAATACCAGAACTTATTCTTCCTTTCCAACTATCCAATTGAAACTTTTTACCCATAACTGCATGATTTTTATTGCTTCTTTAAATCTACACCCAAAGATCATAATAAAACAAGTGACAATGATTACAAACTGATGAAAATAAAAGTGTTCACAGACAGGGAACAAAATGAGTTTTACACAGCTGTAAGATCCAGTTAAGAACTCACTCGTACCCAGCTTGGAAGATCATTGTAACAGGTAAGTAAGAAAAATTTTGGAGAGGTTGCCATGCTCTGAGTCTAATCTTGCCTATTATCAGTGAGGAGGGAAAAAATCAAGAGGTTAGAAAGACCATGTCTCTACCAGGGTCTTCTGTTAAGTGAGATAAAGAAAAGAAAGTGGGAAAGTAGAGAAGAAAAATGTGAGAAACAAACAAAACATGATAGCGCCAGGCTGTCTCCCTAACAAAGGACAAGCTGGTGTAGAGCATAACACAGCATGAAGATGAAATATTTTCCTAATAACCAACCAGCAACACCACCCAGAGCTCCATGGGGAGCAAGCATGCAGAAAGTCACTCAGCGAACATCTACCTGAAGAGAAGGAAAAGATGACAAAATTACTTTAGAGCCAATATTTCTTTGCCTTGTTTCATGTATGACACTGACTGGTTGGAAAATGTGTAAGTGAGGCTTAGGAATTCAGAATATGGGAGACATCAATGTCGTCTAGAATTGTTCTGAAAAGTTTTCTGGAGAGAGAGGTTCTAAGTTGGGGACTATCAGAGGCAAGTCAGCCAAAGTGGGCAGCAGGATATGTCATAAAGTCAGAAAAGCAGCAAGAACTTTTTTAAATTTTTTTTTAGTTGTAGATGAACACAAATCTTTATTTATTTATTTTTATGTGGTGCTGAGGATTGAACCCAGTGCCTCACACATGTGAGGCAAGTGTTCTACCACTGAGCTACAGCCCCAGCCCCAAGAACATTTTTGATTTGTGCCTTTCAATACATCTATATTGATATATGTTTTATATTATATTTTTAATTTAGATAAAGAATATTATGATAAAGATTTATGCTTATTTTCTTCATTAAGCACTATTTTTAAAATTCATATTAGAATATTATAATTATACATACAAGTGGGATTCATTGATTTATACATGAACACAACATAATTTGGTCATTTAGCTCTGTTTTTAGGGGGCATTTGAGGTTGTATGTAACTCTAGTGAGGTGCTTCTAGCTACTGGGCAGTGTCTCCCAGTTCACATCCAATACATTTTTCTTAACCATTTCATAGTACTACATAAAGTATATCTAATAGCCTACAACTACACACAGAGATACACAATCAACTGAAGTAAAATTTTGTACATTACTCTCTATGGATCTGACTGAGAAATCCTCTGTGATAAACCCAAGTTGAAATGCTTGTTCTTACTGCCTACATGGACAAAACACAAATAAAACACTGCCATACTGCTTTCAAAAGGAATTACACTAACCTGTACTCACAAACAGTGCAGCAAAGTTATGCTAAAAATTGATCTGTATTATAATACAGTTGAATTTCAGCCAGCCACAGTAAGGTGATTTGGCTTTAGAAAACATAATTTAATTATCACACTTACAAATATAAGTTTAAAAAAAAATCATATAGCTATCTCAATCAGGAAAAGCTTGTGACAGTAATCCAACTTCCATTGATGAGAAAACCTCTTAGCAAAGCATTTTTTAGAAGACAATTTATATTTATACACACACAATTTAGAAAACAAAATATACATACACATGTATATAGTATATATTTAAACATATAGATATTTTCAAAAATAAAAGACTTTGTAACTTCCTTTTAAGAACAACTAGCAAAGCCAAATAATTTTATTTTTAATCTTTTTGAAGCATCAAAGAGTTATCAAGAGAGTTAAGGGATTGAGACACCTAGATCCCAGAGAGAAAGTAACAGAGGAGCAAAGTAATTAGGAAAATGAAGCAACACATTCGAAGTGCCAATGTACTCCTCCATCAAAACACGATCAACAAAACACTTAACAACATCAAATTATATCCTCAAAAGTGAAATCAAATAAGAGGAAAAACTGTATATAAAGAAAAATGAAGAGAAGGGAAACCAAGTACACAAATCTAAAAGAATAAGTATTACGCAGAATAACAGAGTTATATATACTACTAATACTAATGTATTTCTTGAATTAAAATATTTGACAATTTACTAACAATAAAAATCTGAGGGAGTTAAACATAGATTGAGTACATAGTTTTGTAATGTCCTTCATTTCCTAGGAATTATGAAAAACATGAATTTATAGACATTATTAATTTAAAGATGCATTCTGAAATTTCTAAAATAGAGTAAAAATTACTAAAGCAGCTTGTGTGACAGACAGGATAACAGGGGTGGGAATAATTTTTTAAATGTTTATTAAAATAACAGGGGTCAAAAGTGAGAAAATGGAATAGATAACAGGTAGGATAAATAAAAACCCAATATTAAGATAAAATTATATAGCTATATCAATAAAAAGTAAAATGCAAATAGACTAGAAGTTTCAGTAGAAAAATATGGCAGAGTTGCTCATATGGGACTGACAATTCCCACAAAACAGTATTAAGCTCTGAAAAAAAAATTTTTAAAAATTGCCAACAAGTACTTAAGAAAGTTCCAAAACTTCAGACACAGGAGATCATTGAGACACTTACAATAAGGGAATCATGCCAGGTGGGAGCTACACTTTAAGGGCCTTTCCCCAGACAAAAAGATTTAGTTCCATTGTGCAGAGCAACCTGAATTCAAGCAGAAAAGTGCAGATCTAAGACCTAGAGATGCCATTATAGAGTTCAAGTTGCTGGAAATGGAGCCCAAAAATCCAAGAAAGGAGAAAGCCTCAGAGAGAAAGAGCACCCATATCTAGTTAGAAAGCCACTCTAGAATCCTTAACTGTGCCCTAGGCTGCGTGTGCACAAGGGAGACTCCACAGAGCTCAGCAGAAAGCAGCACTAGGAAGCATGAAATGACTGAGTAGGACTCTCATCTGTTGCCCTCTACAAGGAGGCAGTTGACAGTTTACATTCCAATAAAGTTGAAAGACTCAGTAAAAAACCCAGGCTTCTCAAGACCTACCTCTAATTGCATAAAACCAAGACTTTACAAGTTCAAACAGAGAGCTTTAAACTATGTTCAACAAATTGGAAGACGCAATATTGTTACTAGAGCAATTCTCCCCAATATATCTAAAGATTAAAAACAATAAAGTCCAGGAGGATTTTTATAGATGTAATGAAAGTTAAACATCTTCTACCATATGACTCTTAGGTAGTTACCAAAATGAAAAACTTTGTCTATACAAAGGACTGAAAATGAATATTCATAGCAGCTCTATTCACAATAGCCCAAACTTGAAATAGCTCAAATGTTCATAATATGATAAAAGATAAAAAATGCTACGGTACACCCATAAAATGGAGTACTATTCAATAATGAAAATAAACAAGAGTACTGATAACTACACAGATTAATCCTCAAAAGCATCACACGAAGTCAAAGGAGCCAGATACAAAAGAGTACATTCTACAAAATTCCATTTACTTGAAACCCTAGGAAAACAAATCTAATATAAAATGTCAAAAATCATACCTGAGATTTCTGGGGGTCCAGAATCAAAGTAGTTAGGAGGAGGACAACTGACTGGGAAATGGCACAAGGGAAATTTTAGGGGCAATGGTAATATTAGATATGTTGACTACAGTGTCTGCACAGGTATGTTTGTCAACATTCATAAAACTGAACACTTAAAATGCATGTATTTTTATTGTATGTAAACTATACCTTAATACGGTTGTTTCTGTTGTAACCAGAGAAATTTGTAAGCAGTAAGTTGGAGATACCTGTACTAGGTAGAACAGTGATGATAGAAGGAAGTCCACTAATTGAAGACATACTAACTAGACAGATACAAATAGGCTGAACCAGTGTGGGGAGAAAAAAAAGACTCCCCAAATTACAATGGCTCAAACAATAAAACAACATAGGTATTTCTTTCCCATATAACTATTCTGTTAGCTTCAGCCCCTTCTGGTCATCCAGGAAGCTACGTATCCTGGAAGCTCTTCCATCTTCTGCCTATGGTCTCGTCCTAAGGTTGAGAAACCCCCAAATAGGCCCATGGATAGATTTAGGAGGTCTTTGATCTCAAATGGAAAAAAATTACATATCTCTTGCCACTACTCTAAATAAAGTTTAGCAATCTCCTGAATTATGTATACTGGCAACAAATTACAGTAGTTTTAGCAATACTCATAGCTCAGTCAACAATTTGAAATCAAAGACATCTTTAGATATTATTTTAAAATAACTTTACCATTATTTTAAAAATCTTGAAATAACATCCATACTTACCACTGCTTGGAAATTACTATAAATACAAAATCTGGTACTAAATTTTGGTTATTAATAAATAATTGCTATGACTACATAATAAATTATTTAAAATACTGATTACTACACCTCAGTGGAGTTGGTTTTTGTTATCACTCTTATATTTTACATATTCTAATACATTATTTGGAGAATAGGTCCAAAGACATCATTAGATGGCCAGTGGGCCCATGTAACAAAGAAGTTTTAGGAACCCCATTTCAGAATATTGTCATCATACCCATGGCCAAAACAAGGCTACTGCCACATCTAGTTTGTAACAAATAAGAAAAGGAAAGAAAGACTGGAGGAGATAAGGCATTAAGTCAACTCCATTAATATTCCATTTTTAAGAAAGCAATCCCATGGCCATATCTGAACAACAGATGCAAGGAAATGTAGTAAAACCGGGTCACCATTTTCCCAGCGACAAGTTTCTATTACTAGTGATGAAAAAGACAACACTGCACTTGAGTCAACAGTGTCTAAGGATGATTATATCCCAGCCTAGGATACAAATGAGTCACAGAACACTCAGGTTTCTCGTAGGTGATGCCTTTCACAAAAACAGGGAGAAGCAGCAACAGAAGACTTTGAAGAAGAGAAAATATTCTAATGTAAAAAGCTGACTTTGAGAGTTCTTTGAGCAGAAGTATAATGATAAATCTGTTCTCCCAGAGAGAAAAAAAAACTGTTTCTAGCCTTTGCTGATTTCTATGATGTTAATATAGTTATCATGGAAGGGACTGGCACTAGAGAGCACATAGTAGTTTTTCAGTAGGTAAAATAAGCTGGGGTCCAACATACCTCTGTTGGTGAGAAGTTCAAGCAGAGACATCATAAAGACATTTGGATATGCAGAGGTCAAGCTAACAAGTAGATTCTAAATGAGATTATTTGGCCATGTGGTTGCAAGAAAAATTGTAATCCACAAACTGGGCGCACTGGCACATACCCGTAATCCCAGTGGATCAAGCGGCAGAGGCAGGAGAATTGCAAATTCAAAACCAGCCTCAGCAACTTAGTGAGGCCCTAAGAAACTCAGTAAGACCCTGTCTCTAAATAAAATACAAAAAAATGGGGGCTGAGGATGTGGCTCAGTGGTTAAGTGCCCCTGGGTTCAATATTTGGTACCAAAAATTTGTAATCTACAGTTATTTGGGGATTAGACAAATGTGATCTTGACAAAGGGCTTCCAGTAAAAAATAGATGAAAAAAAAATAATAGTATACTTTTAAACAGTTTTCTATTGTTGTAATAAAATATCTGAGGGAAACAACTTAAAGGGTGAAATATTTATTTTAGTTCATGATTTCAGAAATTTTAGTCCATAATCATTTGGCCCTTTGCTGTGGGTTTGTGGTGAGCTGAACATCATAGTGGAGAACATATAGTGGAACACTTCTGCCCACCTCAAAAGTGGCTAGGAAAGAGAAAAAGAGGGTAGGGGGAGAAGAAGGAGAGAGAGAGAGAAAGGAAGGGTCTGAGATAAATTGTACCCTTTGAAGGCATACACCCCGTGACTCACCTCTTCCAACCAGGCTCTACCTCCCCTAAAGTTCCCAATATCTCCCAATAGGAAAACCAGCTAGGGATCAAGCCTACAACACATGAGTTTTGGGATTATATTCTAAATCCAAACTATAATATCCACCCCTGGCACCCAAAGGTTAACGCCCATTTCACAATGCAAAATGCATTGCTTCCAACTCCAAGAGTCCTCATAGTCTTCACAGTTCAAGCACTGCCCCAAAAGTTCAATCCAAACTCTCCTCTGAGATTCAAGGCAAACTCTTAGCTGTGAACCCCTATAAAATCAAAACAACAAATTACACACTTCTAATATTCAGTTGTACAAGGCAAACAGTCTCATCCCAAAAAGGAGGAATGGGGCATAGAAAGGAGTGAGAGAATCAGAGCAAAAAAAAAAACAGAAAACAAACATTAAGTCCTGTAGCTCCATGTCTAAGCAATCAGAGCAGGTGGTAGCATAGTGTCAGCTCCAAAAGGCTTGGGCAGTCCCACCCCTATGGCCTTGCTGGTTGAAGTCCACATGGCCTCTCTCTTCAGCCAGTTCTGTTCTGTAATGAATAGTGCTACAGGCATAAATACCATGGAGAAATAGTCTAATTTAATATTTCCTCAGCAGATATTCACATTCCTGGCATCTATAATTGTCTGGGGTCTCCACTATAGCTCCAGTTTCATGCATTGCCCTCTCAGGGGATGCCTAAAGGAGATTCATCCCTACCAAACATTACCTCATCTCACATACTTCCTCTGAAATCTTGCTGGAAACCTCCAAGACCATGTAACTCTTCCATTCTGCATTATCTGCAAAAGTAGCATCACATGAATGACACAATGGTGTCCTAATTAGAATATATTCTATGCTTGTATAATTATATCAAAATGGATTCTAGTGTCATATATAAGTAAAAGAGACCAATTTAAAAAATAATTTAGCACATAAAAATATCTGTTGCAAGCAGGGGCAGTAACCTGGTTCATTTGGACCATGGTTACAGCAGCCTTTGAGTGCTTACATGGCTGAACACAGTGAAATAATTCCTGGAGAAACAACTTCCTAGGCAGCCCTATGGGAGCAGGGCACCCTGGCTCTCTCTTCTCAAATTGAAATCTTGAAAATGAGTTTACACTTTTACACTCTTCAGCCTGTGATGGGTGGGGTCTGGCCAATTACCAAAATGCCCTCAAAGATCTTTCCTTCTCCCCACCCCACCGCCATGGTGCTGGGAATTTAACCCAATGCCTCACACATTTGGCTTCTCTTTAATGGTGCTAATCTCTTCAGCAACCACACCTTTTTTGACCATAATTTAAAATGTGCTCCTTTTCTAGTGAAACTGCAAATTTTTCAAATATTTTGCTCTGCTCTTTGCTCTCAATCCTCACAGGTAAAAGCAGCAAGAAATATCACATCACCACTTTAATGCTACACTGCCTTGAAATTTCCTCCACCAGATTAGTCCTTTAAATTCAATCTCACACAAAGTTTTAGAACATAGACAAAATGTAGACAAGTTCTTTGCTAGAATGTAACATAAATGTCCTCTAGTTCATTCCCCAAAAGAGTCCTCCTTTTCACTGATACCTCTTTTGCATGGTCTTTATTGAATGCATTCCTATCAAAATTCTGGTCTAATGAGTTCGTATCAGAATTAACTATTAAGCTCTCCTCACAACATTCTAGAGCTTCTTTCTCCTGCATCTCCAAACCGTTCCAAACCCTTCCTATAAACCAGTTTCAAAGGCTTCTGAACAACATTGTCAGGTATCATGAAGCAACAACTCTAATTCTAGTACCAATTTTCTATATTAGTCAACTTTTCATTACTGTAACAAAATACCTAATTTAAAAAAAGTAAAGAAGACTTTAGGGGGTATTCCAGGTATGGAAATCGGGATTAATAAACTTCCAAGACCCTGCCATCAGTAAAATTGTTTCTTATAAAGAAGTATTCTAATCATTCTTAATGGAGTCTATTCCAGCCAGGTTGTACTGATTGTACAAAATGTTAGATCAGAGATATATGCAACAGAATTGATCAATGGTCAGGAAGAATATCTTGTGGCACACATAACTGCAATATAATGTAGATGGATTCAGCCTGAGATGATTTTCCTCTTGGATGAGGTGATCTCCTCTAGAACTTCCACAGACCTACTGAAGAAACTGATATATAAAAAGATACAACACAGTACATCATGTATTATAACAAAGATATGCATACCAGACTGGGGGAACACAGAGGAATAAGTTATTATCTAAAAATAACTATTAACAAAAATTCTAAAAACAATTAAAATAAATAAAATAAAATTTGAGGAAAGAACAGTTGGAAGCATAAACTTAAAGGGTAAATAGGAATTTTCAAGATTTACCAAAGAACTTGGTAAGGATTGGAGAATATGGTATAGGGAGGAAAGAAGCGAAGAGGATTTCAGGCAGCAGGATGCAAGCACTGAGAAGCATAAAGGAGGGGCTGGGCTTGTGGCTCAGTGGCAGAGTACTTATGAAGCACAGAGTTTGATTCTCAGCACCACATAAAAATAAATACATGCCGCAGTCTACCTGGGCACAAAATCACGAGCCACTCAAGCAGGAACAAACTTTATTTTTTGAAACTGCCACCAATGCTCCGTCCGCGCCCGGGAAGATTGCCGATCCACCCACA